TATTTGAAGAAAGCTCATTTAATCGACGAAAGAAATCTACCATAGTCAAAAGTGGATATATTAAAGATACCGTGACCGTAAAACTGAATGATGAACTATTAGAAGACAATGAAGAGCTTGAAGTCAGTGAAGAAATGGAAGATAGTTCCAACAACAGTATGATAGATGAACAACAACAACCACGACGATCAGCACGAATACACAAATCTCCTGATAGACATGGTGTGGTGATCATAGGTAATTGGTGGCAGAACAATGTCGCTAGCATTGATGATGAATCTATCCGTCACGATGAACCACTCAATATTAATGAAGCTTTTGATAGTCCAGATAAGGCGAAATGGAAGCAAGCAATGGACAGTGAATATTCTTCCCACACGAAGAAAAATACTTGGAAATAGGTTGACTTACTTGAAGGTCTTAAAGCTATAGATTCTCGACGGATATTCAAAGTAAAGTACAAAGCAGACGGCTCAATTGAGCGGCATAAAGCTCGGTTAGTTGCCAAAGGAGACTTACAAGGATATGGCTTGGATTATGAAGAAACATTTTCTCCAGTAGCGAAATATAGATCAATTCGCTCTCTCTTGGCAATTGCTAATCAGTTAGATTTGGACGTACACCAAAGGATGTGTCAACGGTGAACTTAAAGAGGAAATATATATGAAGCAACCTGAAGGATATGAGAAAAAGGGAGAAGAACAGAAGGTCTGTAAATTAAACAAAAGCATAGACGGCTTGAAGCGATCTTCGAGATGCTGGTTCGATACCATTGATCAGTTCTTAAAGAAATCCGGTTACGTTCAATCCAACTCTGATCCATGCCTGTACATTAAACGAAAGGGAGATAATATCATGCTTTCAGCGTTATACAGGGTGACCCAAAAAGATACGTACCCATGAAAATTTCAATTATGGCTTCAATTTAAAAGCTATTTATTTTCAAACACATCATTCAGTTTATGGAAGACTATTCAGTTTCTGTCAATTTTTAGTCAATTTATGGCTTTCCAAGATGTGTTCCAAATGTCCACCGTTTCGTTGCAAAGCAAACCTGTACTCGTCTGGCAGTGCTGAATCTTTTATACTCTTTCGGGATGGCTCTTATTTTGAAGAACTTAAAACTGCCATCACAGCAAAATAAGAGCCATCCCGAAAGAGGAGTGTATAAAAGTGATTCAAAACTTTGCCAGACGAGTACATTTGCAACGAAATGGTGGACATTTGGAACACATCTTGGGAAAGCCATAAATTAACTAAAAATTGACAGAAATAGCCGAAACTCTTGTGAATAGTCTTTCATAAACTGAACGATGTGTGGTTGTAATTTGAAATAAATAGCTTTTTAATTAAAGCCATAATTGAAATTTTCACGGGTACGTATCTTTTTGGGTCACCCTGTACGTCGATAATTTGATTCTTGCAAGTAACAACAAGAAAATGCTAGAAGAGGGAGAAAGGTATTTTGAAGAAACGTTTTGAAATGAAAGATCTAGGTGAAATTCATTTCTGTCTGGGGATTCAAATTCAACGAGAAAGGGAAAAGAAACAGATGCGACTTCATCAATCAAAGTATTTGACGAATTTATTGAAGAGATTTGGAATGCAAGACTGCAAACCTGTTGCAAGTCCCGTTGAGCTAGGAACCAAGTTGTTGAATAATGAAAGAGAGCCAATGAACATTACGAAATATTAAGCATTAATTGGTGCTTTAACGTATGCAGTTACAACGACAAGACCAGACCTGGCACAAGCACTTTCAACAGTTAATCAATTCTGTGCTAACCCTAGCCAAGACCATTGGAATGCTGCCAAACGTATTTTACGTTATATTAAAAGTACGATGAACTACGGCATTTGCTTTGATGGACATAAAGAATTTGAAGTCAAATTAAGTGGATTTGTTGATGCTGATTGGGGATGTGATCCAAATAATCGAAAATCACATACAGGATACCTATTCATGATTTGTGGTGGATTGGTAAGTTGGGCAAGCAAAAAGTAAAGTATTGTATCTCTCTAATCTACTGAAGCTGAGTATGTTGCAGCATCACAAGCACGTCAAGAAGCAACATGGTTAAGAGGATTACTACATGATTTAAACTTCACTCAAAAGGACCAACTATCATAACAGAGGATAATCAAGGAGCAATAAGTTTTTCAAAAAATCAGAAATACCATCCAAGAACGAAACACATTGACATAAAATATCATTTCATTCGCGACAAAGTACTGAAGAAAGAAATTGCACTTGAGTATTGTACGTCACAACAAATGGTTGCTGATATATTAACGAAACCATTAGGAAAAACTGTATTTCAACGAATGAGATCTAATATGGGTGTAACAAACATTTAGAGGAATAGAGATCAGTTTATATTTGTCGAAAGGGAGCGTTAAGATATGAACATCAAACGAAAAGATATAAACAACATAGGATTGCATGCATAATTAAGTAGATATGATACATGTCAGATTAAGTGATATTCTGAACTTGTTATTGTAATGTCATTGTTCACTGATACTTAACTTGTTATTTGTTCCACAATAAAATCATAAATATTTCACGTACAATCCGAATGTAATTGCCGAATCACGAATAATTTAACATTTTTTAGTTGTGATGTGTGATTTAGTTGTGATGTTTTTATTTGTAATGTGTGTGTGTCAATTGTGTATTGTCATTGTGAATTAGTGTGAAGTGTAATGTTTTTAGTTGATCGTTTGTTAGTATTGTGAATAAGTCGTTTGTAAGGTGCCGGTAATTAATGTGATCTGTTCAGGGGGGTTTGTTCCAAGTTGGTATACCAACTTTCTAATGTAAGCCGTTATCTTTAGTCAGTACTGTAAGTAATGCATTTTGCCGAGTCCCAGTCAATGTTGTGCTTTGTGATTTGGTGATGTTCGGCAATGTGATTAGTTTTGCCTTGTTTCTTTGTAGCTCGTTTTTGTTCAGTAAGTCTTATGTTTAAGTTCCTGCCAGTTTCCCCGATGTAGGAGGCGTGGCAGTCGGAGCAGTTTATTTTGTAAACTGCACCTTGTCGTTCGTTGGGTTGTTCTTTGTCCTTTATGTTCGTCAGTACTTGTCGTAATGTTGTGATTGGTTTATGTGCGACACGTATGTTTTGTGGTCGTAAGATACGCGAGATAGTCTCAGACGTATCTTTGATGTAAGGTATCGTTGCTGTTGTCACTGAGTTGTTCGTTTCGTTGGGTTTGTAAGTGCTGCGTTTGATGAAGTCAGAGTTATAGTTGTTTTTGTCAAAAACACGTTTGAAATAGTTGTTTTCGTTGTGTAAAGCGTTCGGTGTATCACATATGATTTGTGCACGTCTTGTTATTGTTCTGATTGTGGTGGCTTTGCGTGATGTAAGGTTGTAAGATGATTGGTCTAGTAGTCGGTCAGTGTGTGCTGGTTTGCGATAAACTGTTGTTCGTAGTTTTTGACTGTCCTGTTTTACCAAACAGTCGAAAAAAGGAAGAGTTCCGTTTTCTTCGACACTTTGGTAAATTGTAAGTGGCTGTTCTGTTTGTTGATGTGAGTGTGAAAGTCATCAATCTCGTCCGCATGTAGTGCTGTGATTGTGTCATCTACGTAGTGGAACCAAAAAGGTAGTGCATGTTTGTAAGTCGTGAGCGCCCGTTCCTCTATAGATTGCATTACAATTTCAGCAACTACAACAGAAACGGGTGAGCCCATTGCTGTTCCATGTCATTGTTTGTAGTGAGCACCTTTGTACTGGAAGTAAGTCGAGGTGAGGCAGAGCTCCAGTAGCTCCATTATGTCTTCTGTCGGTAATGGAAGTACGTCTGTAATGTTTGTATTGAGGGTTTTTGTACAAGTACGTACCAGATTAAGTGGAATACTGGTGAACAGTGATTTCACATCAAAAGACACTAGTATATAGTTGTCCGGTATTTGTATAGTGCTCAGTTTTTTAATGAAAGTTTCAGTGGATTGTAGCTTGTGTTTTGATTTGCTTGTAAGTGATTGCAGTATGTCAGTCATGTACTTTGAGAGTTCGTGAGTAGGCGAACCACAGAATGATACAATTGTTCGCATGGGTATTTGTGGTTTGTGTAGTTTTGGCAGTCTGTATAGTCTGGGTGGTCGTGGCACTGAACATCTAACTCGATAGCAAATACGGTCGGATATAATGCTAGATGTTCTCATAGAGAAGATCTTGCTGTTAAGTTTGCGTAATAGTGATGAAGTTGGGTCTCGTTTGAGTTGTTCGTACGTTTGTCTGTCGTTAACAAGGGTGTCCATTTTGTCGAAGTAATCATTCCTGTCCATGACCACAGTCCCGTGTCCTTTGTCTGCTGGTAAAATGACGATGTTGTTGTCGTGTTTTAGTCGTTTGAGTGCTTGTTGCTCGTCCTTTGTCAAGTTGTTGTCACAAATAGAGGACGATTGAAAAGCGGAGGCTACCCTGCTTGTGATTCGTCTTTGGTTGTCTCTGACAAGTCTCTTTGATACGCTAGGACAGCCTCGACACTTGATACTATCGTCTCAGTCGGGATTCGTCCAGGTGTTATGGTATATTTTTGTCCGTAAGATAGTAGTCGTGTTTCAGTTACCACGGACGTACTGCCATTACCGACAGAAGGCATTATGGAGCTGCTGGAGCTCCATAATGATGTTTCTAGCAAGTCTTAAACAAAACAAGACTAATATGACCAAAATCATCAATGGGACCAACAATTATTAGAGAACGGTTTAATTGGAAAACAACACGGCAACTGTTTGTTACTACAAAAGGCATCAAAATGAAGTGCAAAGCAACACAAACAAAATCAAAAAGTCTCACCACATTTAAAATTCCAATGCTTCCAAATATGTCATCAGCTGCTAAAATTGTTTTATCCCAACTTGGATGAAATGCCATTGTCATTATTCATTTTGCAACATTTTGCAACAAACACACATGATTACAAATACTAATTAAACTTTAACCAATTAACTATTGATATGAAAAAAGTAAAAAACTACGCCATGGTTGATGGTTCATGATCAAAAATTTAGCACTTTATTTTGACTAGAATTTTAGAAATAATCAAAACACCTTTGAAACTTTGATTATAAAATTTTGAATCCAATAACAATTTTCATTTACAATTTTCAATTGAAATTATAACACAATATTGAAGAAGTGTTCTATTGATTCATCTGTAATTTCTTCGTTTCTTCGGCATCAATTTCCTTAATTTTCCATCAATTGCCTTCACTTAAAGCTTACGTCAGCGAAAAATACCCTCGTCTGTATCTATATTATAATGTAAATCTTTAATAAACTGTATGTATTGTTGAAAAGACATCGCAGTAAGTAGAGTTTAAAAGATTTGGTTGATTTTCTCAATTAGAAAGGCATTTTATGTCTATTAGAAAGCGTCGATCCCACTTCGATAACACTACGCATTATTTATACCCATGTTCAATTCGTCCATTCACATTTGCCACAAGTGAAGTAGACTCGAGTTGAACTGTGTCCCACGAAGAGTGCTTTTTATCAACAATATTCTCACTTTCTCTTTTCATCTACACAAATAAAGCGCTTAGAATCCAATAGAAAATACCTTGATGGTTGATTAACAGCTGCGCATGCCCTGAACCTTTCTTATCCCATCAAATCCTTCCATCCACATGTAATAACACAATCGTTTTCGTTTGTGAAATAAGTGACAACGCAAAACTAGGATATCAAGACCAGTCACCAGGATACGGATATTTCAAGCAATCCCTAAACGTTTCATAATTTTAGTTATGATTGCACTGGCTAATTTCAACATGTATTGCATAAGGATGTGTGTGAACGTGACCATTGTAGCAATGACGCACGAAGAAGATGACCAGCATAACACAACGGAATCTCGTTTATCAAGAGACGAGGTAAGAAAAAAATGCAATGCTTGCTTTTATCAATTGGTACATATAGATGAAAAGCTGAAGTTTAGATTTAAACTTCAAATTCAACTTCTTGTTTCCTGCTGCAGTTTTTCATCACAGCTTTGGCAATTTTGATTTTCCTTCGGACATGATACAGTATGTGGCAGCGGTATTGTACGCTGGTAGTTGATACACAGCCAATTACGTTAGTATGTGGCGGCGGTATTGTACGCTGGTAGTTGATACACAGTCAATTACGTTAGTATGTGGCGGCGGTATTGTACGCTGGTAGTTGATACACAGCCAAGTACGTTAGTATGTGGCGGCGGTATTGTACGCTGGTAGTTGATACACAGCCAAATACCTTAGTAGGTGGCGGCGGTATTGTACGCTGGTAGTTGATACACAGCCAATTACGTTAGTATGTGGCGGCGGTATTGTACGCTGGTAGTTGATACACAGCCAATTACGTTAGTATGTGGCGGCGGTATTGTACGCTGGTAGTTGATACACAGCCAATAACGTTAGTATGTGGCGGCGGTATTGTACGCTGGTAGTTGATACACAGCCAATTACGTTAGTATGTGGCGGCGGTATTGTACGCTGGTAGTTGATACACAGCCAATTACGTTAGTATGTGGCGGCAGTATTGAACGCTGGTAGTTGATAAACAGCCAATTACGTTTGTAATTCATCTAATAGTCTGTGAAAGTCAGGAAATTTTACAAAGAATTACGGTAAAAACAACGGACTAATGTCCCATTTATCTCTTTAAGGAGCCAGAATTCCACTGGAGCACGCAACTTCAAGGTAAGTCGTCTTCGTTGAATGCACGTGAAAATTATATCTGCTGTGGGTAATTGGAGTTTTGTGCACAGATAAATACACGGAGGTGGAGGGGGGGGTGGGGGTTGTGTAAAGAAAGGTAGAAGTGCACAAGAATGGAATGATTTGCTTCAGATCTTAACATTGTGTGGTGGCGAACTATCTATTTGACCTCGTGACAATGCGGCGGAATCATTCGTATGTTGTAATAAGAAATTATTTTTGAAGTTTACTAAATTCATCTAATATTGCTTATGGCAGTACTCTAATGCCGCCAGCATGTATTAGCACCATGTAATAAAATGTCATATCAGATGCAATCAACTGGTAACAATGATAGACGTTTGCAGGTACAATCTGGCGTCCCTTTACTGGAGCTATACTGCTCTTCAAATACCGGCAGGATTGCTTTGCGCAAAGTATGGCAGTTCATTTCTACTTGGTATTGCAATTTTTGGCTCCTCGGTTCTTACGCTTTTCACACCACTGATCGTCAGGGCGAACGTCAGTGCCTTCATAGTACTACGGGTACTGGAAGGTGCATTCTTGGTAAGGTATAACTTTTTAGCTTTATGAAAGCTTATTTGATAGTGTGTAGCAAACTGTAGAGATGAGATTTTAGTCATTGAATATGCTATATATACCTTTAAATTGCGACGACTTTAGTCAGTTTTATTCCACAAAACAATTCAGCATGCACATGATAAGATAGTTTTATCTTAAGCAAAATTCCATTCAAGTTTTCATAGTAACTCACTAAATTCGTTTTAAACATAGTTAATGCTGGGGCATTTATGTGAAAGTGTGTAGATAGCCACAAGCATATCCGCTAAAATTTTTCGTCAGTTGTTTGGCCTAAATGTACGACAATCATTAAGTCTAATCGAAAATTGCTCGATTAACCTGATTTGTCTAACAATTTGGCTGCCCTCCTTGCTTGGTAAGCCCATGGTAGTAACAAGAAATTTTTTGCATGTTTGTTGACGTAGATTGTCCAGGTTAGTAGAGTCTCGAGAAGGAATGTTGATGTTGATGTTGACTGTGACAGCACTTGAAGATGATCACCGCTAAGGTTTTTGAAACGTCAGTCAACACCACCAACAACAGTTCTTCTCAAGACTCTACTAACTTGGACGATCTACGTGTACAAACATGTAACGATACTCCCGGGTTCAAACCATTCACTTTATCAAGATAAATCTCGATATTTACATGCTGTGAATGCTCAACAACATAAAATAGACTGTTAATTGACGTCTTTACTCAAGACATCTTCAGACGAGTAAAGACGAAACTTGAGTAAAGACGAAACGTCACAATAAATTTAACTTTACAATTGGTCTATTCTATGGAATCAGAACATGTTGCATTAATTTTATCACACGAATTCGATTTCCGCTCGGCAAGTCTCTCGCTACAATTTACATGAAGTCGTACATGATGTGATTTTTTTCCACAGGGTTTGGTGGCGAGTTCAGGCATTGATTTAATAAGCAAATGGTCACCTATTTACGAAAGGAGTATTTTCGTCACCGTTTCATATGCAGGTGATTGAATGATCGTAATTTATGATGTCATTTATGTTGTACATACATGATTTCGTAAGATACATATAAAGTACGTGCATCTGATGAATCAATATAATTTCATTATATTAATTTGCAGCGCTAGCTGGTGAAACTGCACGCGCAACGGAGCTTTAGCTACGTACTTTCGAAATTTGTGATTTCGTCAAAAACATTTAAAGCGCTGTTTTATGAGTAGATTTTGATTTCTACAGCTTGCATAAACAAACGTCGTCAACAATTTAAAAACTTACCCATGATCCTCTCATGCAGGTCTTCTGTGGGGAACAGTTTTTGCGAACTCAATAAGTGGTCTTCTGGCCGGTAGTTCATACGGGTGGCCGTCCGTTTTTTACTTCTTTGGTAAGTTTTCGTTCATCGCTTCTTCAAGGATCTAATGAAAATAAATCAATACGTCATAAATTTATAAAACAATTATCAGAGAATACTAGCATACAGAAGATAATCTTTATTGCTTTCGTTCAAGTGCCATTAAAACGCCAGTCACACAGTGCAGAAAATAGGAAAAATTCCCACCCTTGAGTGGCAGATATTTCATTAGAATATTTTTTCAGCCATTTCGATGGAAGGGGGGAATTGCCCGTGTTTTCAACACTGACTGTTGAATCATGACGTATTTTGCATAAACAAAAACAACTGGAGATAACAAAAGTGATGATTACTTAGCAAACCAAGTTAAAAGGTGCTCTAGCTGCTGCACCTGACGAGGAAATATTTTTTCATTTTTGCATTTGTTGAAGGAGCTCAAGGAGTCCTCTGGTATTTATGTTGGCTGTACCTGGGGGCGGAACAACCAGCTGATCATCCTACTATATCCCGGTCTGAGATACAAAAGATTGGAAAACACTGGACAACTAAAGTAAATATCTTAAAATGACTGAACAATATTACTTGAATTTAAATATTTGATTTATTTTCTTTATTTATTTATGATATATTGTTTTTTCATTACTTGACAACATAAATTGACGTGACACAAAACAATGTAGTGGAACTAATTGCTTCCAAAGTAATGACAGATCAAAAAGAACTATTTATGTGTAACATAACAGTTCATCTGTGTGTATTTACAGTTGAAATTTCGTGAAATTCCATGGAGACATATGCTCACATCGATAAGAGTTTGGGCGATCATACTTCCCGTCTTTATGGATTGTTGGTGTTTCTACACATTTATGTTTTCATTTCCAAGCTATCTCAGCGATGTTCATAAACTAGATATAACAACGGTTTGTGGATTTTTTATGAAAATTGAATTCATTGAAAGCATGATGTTAATGCAAAAATCCTGATCATGTAGATGTTACAGTAGTTTATACATAGTGCCCCTTTCAAAGGAACAAAAAAAGTTTATTGAATTGGTACTAATGTGAGTAATGTGTAGTTTTTAAGCTATACATTACATAACCTATACATTATAAAAGTTTTTAAGCTATATAAAAAGGAGAAAACAGCTACTCCACCAATCAGCTTCCATCTGTATTACTGATCTCTATGTTCAGGCTGAATGTATAAATAAACAAAGAACTTAACAAATGTACTTTAAACCACTTTTAACAAAGATGTATTAATGGAAATTTAAACCTAGCAACGCTATTTGTAATGCTATGACTTAAAGGAATGCAACAACCCACATCTGCTTCACTGACAGTTGTCTAAGCCAATAACAAAGGATTTCATATAAATGTTAGCTTTGCAAACATCAGTTACATCTCCGAGCAAATTTAGGCTACCCACATGTACGCTCTGTGTACCTATTTTTTAAATTTCAATTAAGAGAATAATCTTCTATTATAACCTCAATGAATTTGTTTTGTCATAAGCTCAAATGGTTGGAAATAAGACCTATGCATGCAATAAATTGAACAAAAACAAGTTGTAAGATAAGATTAATGAGAAGAGTAAATGAAAACGATTTGAAAAACATCATGAACTTATATCATTGTTTTTTTTTTCTTATACAGATTGGTTTCACTAGTTCCATTCCTTATGTAGTAGCAGGACTACTCACACCTGCATGGGGATTTTTCATAGATATGTTGAGAAAACGAAAATATTTAAGCACAACAAATGCCAGAAAACTCTCTTATTTGTTTGGTAAGATTTATTTTACCACATGCTTTTTCATAAGTTTGCAACCATAATAATTAATATGACTCTCTTAAAAAGTGTTGACTCTTGAGAGAAGTGGTTGAGGGAATGTGAATAAAATGTTGCAAAAACCATCATTATGAGAAGTAACTGTATTCTTAATATTATACCAACATCATTTCTAAGCTTTATTTAAAATAAATTTTACTCACCCCCTTAGCAGTTGTACTAAAATGGACATGAAACTTCATGGTAACATAATGTTGATTTTAACTTTCTTCTGAAAGAAGTTTGGAACATTCATTTGAACATTAGAATATTCCTACAAACTTTCAAGTGTTTTCTTTTTAGTTTGAATGTTCAAAACTTACGGAAGATAATCTGATTAGTCAATATCTATATATGTTAGCCAATCAGATCATTTACTGTAAGTTTAAAGATGCAAACTAACAAACGAACATTTGAATGTTCCAATGAATACTCAAAACTATTTTAGAGATACACAAGGTGAAATTGACATTATCTTTTCTCCAATATTGAATTTTTGTGGTTTTCTTCATACATTAGGTGCTGGAATAGGTGGAGTCTTTATCTTTGCCATGGTTTATGCATCTAATGCCTCAACTGCTATTGTCATAGCAACCATAGCAATTACAGTATCAAATTTTAGCTCAAGTGGTCCAGGAGCAAACTTGGTTGAGCTTGCACCAAAGTATTCAAGTGTATTAATGGGTATTTCTAACTTTGCCTGTAATATCACTGGTTTTATTTCACCAGAAGTGGTTGGAAGTCTTACAGAGCACGGGGTAAGAATAAATGAGCTTTTATAACATTTCAATTAAGTCCAATAGCATATTAAACATGCAATTAGCCATTTGTAAAAGTATAAAAATAACTTACAATTTCTTGTAGAATATTCAACAATGGGCAATTGTATTCTATATCACGGCTGCCATCGAGGTTTTTGGAATGCTCTTGTACCTTGTATTTGGTTCGTCAGAAAAACAACCATGGGCTGATAATTGAGTCGTTCATTCACTTTCTGAAGTCTCTGTGTCCTCCCAGAGCATTTTTATGTTTTATAATTCATCGTTCTTTTATTTTTAATCACTATAACATTCAATATTTGAAAAATATTTATTAAATTTTTCTTTCAGTACAGTTGTTTTTCTTGCACGCACAGTCGCACACCACGTGCACAGCAGTGCAGCAGCAGTCCAGTATCCACTGACTTGGATATGATGTTTTAGTCACGTGATCGGTAATTTTGGGACATTCATTCATACTGACCATACACTTCTTGTACTCATTTCACCCATTTGCAATCTTCAAAACAGAGACTTTAAAATTTGTAAACAGAGACAGTAATAAAATCAATGAATGACTTAAGTCACTCAACTTAATTTGTCAAAAAAAACAGGTGTATGTCTTGTCAGCAACACTAGGTACATGTCATTGATATCAATGATTAATCCAGGTTCCTTGATCAAATTTACTAAATCAAAAGCCACTCACTCATGCTATTTAAATCAGTTAAAATAACTTCAAACGTTGGTCAACCAAGATCTTACAAGCTAGACCCAAGCATGGCACACATGCAAAATGTCAATGACAACCATAGAGGTAAAGAATTGTCATCTTTTATTTTACTATAGAACATTTGCTATATATGTTGATATTTTTTAAGTATTTTATACAACACAAACAAACCACTACGTCCGTCTTAAGAGGAAAGGCATAAATCTGTTCCACAACAACTTATGCTATGTTGCCTAAACTTACCTCTGTATCAAATGATGTATTATTTATGTTAAGTCCTGATGTCCACCAAGCAATTCAGGAGAAAAAGATCAAGGAAAGTCATACCGACTGTACCTGAAAAATGGAAGGAAGAATTTGACAAATTAGCACTAGTAACTATAACCATTTATTTAAAAACAGAGGATTTCACAACACTACGAGTTGTCTTTGTGTTGTGTTTAGAAACCAAGGTCAATCCAAATCAAATTGCTAAATCCACACATCACGTGTCCAGTTTGCCAAGGATATTTAGTTGATGCTATAACAATAACTGAATGTCTACATTCATGTTAGTATTTCATCAAGTGTTTCACAAACTGCTAGTCCAACACTTATGTTGCCATCAATGGTTAGAGGGTGATTATGACACAATTTTCACACTTGGCTATGTTTTAAGTTTGTAGAGGTTGTATTGTGAAGCATTTTGAGAGAGTTCGTTGTAACTACAAATGTCCACTATGTCATGAGCTTGTGCATAAAACAAACCCTTGGTATAATCTTAAGTAAGGAGAATCATTTAATTTTCATTTAATCACCAGAAGTGGGCAAAATTTGATCCTATGCTTTTCAACTTCCAGAACTGATTGTGTCCTTCAGGACATAGTTAATAAATTGGTACCTGATTTTGCAGAAGGTTAATGTTTTTTCCTCAAATTGGTGACATTGATTTTCAATTTACATGCATACCACTTCAAAAGATCAATATATTATTTCATCCTTCTCAGCTGAAGAAAGACAACGAAGAGTTTTCTACAAAAGCAGGGGACTCGCCATCCCAGACAAAGGTTCGACAATGTATTTTTGTTCATTTGTGTTGTTATATGCATGATAATTCTAATGATCATAATCCTGATTACTACAGTCATAAAACCAGACATACAGAGACCTCAAATTAATCATACTACAGTTACAAGAGCAGAAAGTAACTACTCTCAATCACACTCACAACAAGTACAAGAAGCACCTTCAGAACCTATTGAAAATACACCAGAATACTACATTGAAGATGAGAATGATGAAATTACCATGCAACTTGAAATGAAAAGGTTGGTGATCAATACCAAATTTCCTGCAGCTGAAAAATTTATTCATTGACACTTGATCATGATATATTGAAATTGATCATTATGTATATTTTTAGTGTTGATGAATTCACACTTGAAGATTTAGAGGTAGCAGTTTGGTACAAGAAATTCAATTTACAACAGTTCAATAAGACAGTTTAAGGCAAACTTCACTTCTGCACTTGATAAGTCATTCAAGGAAACATGAGCATCATATTTTTCACTTCATGTTGACAATAGAAAAAACTTGAATACAAATGGAGCTTCATTGCACTCAAGTAGTTTAGGCAAAGACAAGTGCTTGTTTTGATATTATGCTGCCAGTTCTAACATGCTATATGCATTGGTTTTATTGCAGCCATTGAAAAGAAAATTTGTCCGTTGCTCAAATCAGGTGACAATTGGATTACTTCAAGCATTCTTAGCAAAGAAATTGAATCTTGAAGCTGCAAATCAGGTACCAGTATACAACTGATTATGTTGATCATGTGAGTCAATCAAATATAGAGATTTACTTGTACTTTATTTTTAAGATTGAAATAATTTGTAATGATATGGAACTGGGATCAGACTTTACATTGCAGTTTATAAAAGAAACTATTGCTGAGGAAGAAGTGAGTTGCCAACCCAGTTTAAGAATTATCAATATAATTATTCTGAGAAATCTTCAAAGTTTACTCTGCTTTTCACATGTATTTCGTTTTCAGGACAGCAGTAAACCGTTGCTTTTGTATTATGGTCTCAGTGATATATACTGAGCATAAACTAGAAAGGAGCAAGGAAAGTGTTAAGAAAAGTGATGTTCAGGCTGACTCTTATCATTTCCAAACTCAAGTAATGTTAACAAGATGAAAGAACAAGAACACTTTACTTAACATTGACCTGTAGGAAAACAGATCTTTTGCGAAAAATACGTCAAAAACTAGTAGCTCGTAAATGAATTGTTTTGATTTAGATCACACCAAAGGTTCATGTTGAAGTGACACTAACCTCGTCTTGTGGCAACTGATCTTTGAACTCTTCAATTTTCGATTCTGTGTCATGTAAAATGCTTTCGGCATGGTTGACTGCTTCAGTTTTTTCCTAATAAACGTGTAAAAAACATTTTAAAAGGCTGAAGATACAACTCTATACAGAGACATTTAACATATGGTTAACGAGTAAACTGCTGCTATCCTTCAGTTCAACTACAACGTCAGTTCCTTTCGTGCTCACCTTTCTTTCTCTGTCACTTTCTGCATACATTTCAGCTTGTTTAATCATATTTTCAATCTCATCTTTGTTCAAACCACCAGAAGATTGGATGACAACTGTACAAATAATCAAATAATGCAACAGTGACTCTCCAAAATACAATAGCTGTTTAATAACTGATCACAAAACCAAAGAACATGCACACAACAACTGGGGATGAGTGTACAATAGAAAATAAATTTAAACCAAGGAATGCTGTCAAACATCAATTAAATGCCTTTACCCCCTTGTTGTCCCTTTAGCAGATCTGCAACAATCACTAAACCAATTGAACTGTGATTTAAAAAAGATGTGGTCCATATTATATAGAAATTATAAGTATTTGTATATTAACAAACAATGAAGAATGCAATAATCAGTTAAACTATTAGTTTTCCTAAAGCCTGACTTTTTCGAATAAGTAATTCAGTAGTAAACTCTGCTACGCTGAGAAGATTTTCTTTGTCATTCAAACCGTTAGCCATGATGTACTTACTCTGTTGTTCTTTTCCAGTTCCCTTATCACGAGCGGACACGTTGACAATGCCATTAGCATCAATGTTGAACGTGACGTTAATTTGTGGTATACCACGTGGTGCAGGTGGGATGCCAACCTAACGCAAACGATGAAGATTAGAAATATCATATACATTGACGTTGTTCAACAAAAATAAGCAAACATTCGTAATGCTCACCAAAGAAAACTGTCCCAAAGTTTTATTATCTGCAGCCATTGCACGTTCACCTTGACAAACCTTAATTTCCACTTGCGTCTGACCATCAGCTGCGGTGGAGAACACCTAGAAAGGTATAAAAATATAAATGCTTAAACTGGATCAAGACAATGGCAATTGAGCTTCATAGATACAATGTGATGATTTCAATCACATCATACGTATGTAGTGTACAAGTGAAATTTGCTATGTTACAGTGGTGTAAATTACAAAGGAATCTTGCTGAATTTAATGGTAAAATACTGCACCTGGCTCTTTTTCGTAGGAATAGTCGTGTTTCTCTCTATGAGCTTGATAAAGACACCACCAAGCGTCTCAACGCCAAGGGATAAAGGTGTAACATCCAACAGAAGAACATCTTTCACATCACCAGCAAGAACTCCACCTTGAATGGCCGCTCCTAAAGCAACAGCTTCGTCCGGATTCACAGCCTTATTTGGCGAACGACCAAATATCTCCTTCACAAGTTCTTGCACCTAATTGATTCATTAACATTCCTTAGTTCTGCTATGGGATCCATTGAAATAAACCAGAGATACAAGGATTGTGAAAGTAATAAACAAAACACTGCTGTTTGGACAATAATAATTTAGATGAAGCTCAAACATCTATCAACCAAAATACCGGAATAGAGCTGTGAGGTTATAATATTAGTTCTTTTTTATGCATCAAAAACTTTCTACGCCAAAGAACCGATATTTTTGGTTTTATTTTTCCCCTTAGACGTCCTCCAAACGTCCACCTTCCTTTAAAGTTTCAAAACAGTTCAGTTCCTTCTTTCCATTCAAAACCGCAAGAAAAGAGTCCAATTTGGGAATATTTCAAGAAAGAAAACAAGAAACAAGTTTGAAGTGTGAGGTCTGTGACAGAATGAAATCAGCACAGTACATAGCAAAACCACAGATCTGTGAAAACACATAGAAAACAAGCACACGTTGAATTATGCTGAACTAGACAACTTTCTGGCGTCTACTCGTCTAATTCATAATTCAGTCAATGTAGCATTACACATGCATTGTTTTTTCTTTTTTTGAAAAAAAATGGACCGAAATTCAATAAACTGAAAACCAGATAAAATGCTGGAGCCACACAGCTCAACACCTGACCAAGTCAAAACAAAATATACAGATTAGGTCAAACTGATACCTTAGGCATCCTTGTCATACTACCAACCAACAACACTTCTCCAATATCTGATATTGTACAGTCAGCGTCCTTCATGCATTTTTTACAAGGTTCAACAGTTCTTTGAATCAAATCAGCAACAAGTGACTCGAGTTTTGCTCTTGTTAATTTCATGTTCATGTGCTGGGGTCCTGACGCTCCAATAGTAATGTAAGGTAGATTGATATCCGTCTATAAAATATGATAGAAGTGAAGTTACTTTTGAAATGTCATTTAAAATAAACTGTTAATGGATAAATTAATGACTAAACATGCAATCAATTGTTTTTGTGCAAGCAATCAAATCAATTATTGTGTAAACAAACTTGTATGGATGACGATAACTCAATCTTTGCTTTTTCAGCAGCTTCTCTTAATCTTTGAATTGCCATGTTGTCCTTCGTAAGATCAATTCCCGACTAAAAATGAGAGCATAATTTATTCGATTAGTTAACTTAAGTAAAAAAAATCAAGGTTCTTTAAAACAATTCTATCATTTCATATTTCAATTTTAATACTGGGCAGATGAAATATTTCATACCTCTCTTTTGAATTCTTTTACAAGATACTGAAGAAGAGCATTATCAAAATCCTCACCACCCAAATAAGTATCACGATTTGTTGCTTTCACTTCAAATACACCCTTTTGGATTTCCAAGATGGACACATCAAATGTACCACCACCAAGATCATAAACAGCTAAGCTAAATAATAAAAGCACATTTCATTAATACATAATTTTAGAAACAAAAAAAGCAACACAATTAGCAATTTTAGTCATATATCATTTCATCCAACATACATTTTATCTTCTGCCCTATCCATTCCATAAGCAAGCGCTGCAGCTGTAGGCTCATTGATGACATGAAGGACGCTGAAACCTGCAATCTGGCCCGCATCTTTTGTTGCCTTAAATAAATAATCCATGGTTATCATAGAAACAGCCATTAAGCCTGAAGACTTGAACTTTGACATGACTGATGATATCTTTGCTTTGGCAAGTTTTATGTTACCTGTCTTTGAGCATCGTTGAAATACGCAGGTACAGTGACAACTGCATTTTGTACACTTGTGTTCAAATAACTTTCAGCAGTTTCTTTCATTTTCATCAAAACAAATGCACCAATTTGACTTGGTGAGTACATTTTCCCTTGAACATCAAACCAAGCATCCCCATTTGATGCCTTTACAATTTTGAATGAAAGGTTTTTACTGCAAGAAATATATAAAAGAGAAATTCAGTTACAATAAGAAATATTATTTTTCATGAAGTGTTTAACAACAAGCATATACATACAGATCTTTTTGAACTTCGGAATCATCAAAGCGTCTTCCTATGTATCTTTTTGTCGCATAAAGGGTATTTTGAGGATTGGTCACTGCCTAAAAGTTTACAAATAAATCCATTACTTCGGCACTTTTCTTTGCAATGATTCTGCTGGTTTATATCAGCAAAGACAATCAATTAAATCAGGCATAAGTCATATAGATTATGCTAATAAATGTTGCTTATATAAAAGACAGCATCAGTTACAAATCAGAGTCTGTATAAGCACCAATATTGGCTTTTTTATACCTGTCGTATTGCTGGTTCCCCAACAAGCCTCTCTCCATCTGATGAAAATGCTACAACTGATGGAGTCGTCTTTGCTCCCTCAGCATTTTCAATCACCTTAGGTGTTTTGCCTTCCATAACAGCAACACATGAGTTGTTTGTACCAAGATCAATGCCACAAACTGCTCCACGTACATCAGAACTTAAAGTAGATGAAATTTTGAACCAATGAAAAACTAGTTGGACTTGTTACCGAGCGGGAAAAATTAGTTGCTCATTGTACATTTAACAGCTTCGTTGGCACATTTATAAAGTCATTTGAACATCAAAATTAATGAATTGTATTGATAAAGAGGAAATACAATGGTAAGCTAGTTGTTTTGGTGTTCAACCTTTCAATTTAATATAATTAATTGGTATTTTTTTAATAAACTTTTTACTTACGCATAAGATCTGACTGGTGCATTATGAGTGGAGATTGTTTGACTCAATGTACTTCTATTAATCTAAAGAAAACAAAAAATCTTAGTCGTCAGTGATGATGTGGAGGACATCTGTACACAGAAGGCGTGCATAAAAAGCCAGAACATATTTCAGAATCTATGCAATTTTCCAGCAAATTTTTTCTTACCCTCGAAAACGAACGTTTGATATTTGCACACCGCCAAGTACTGAGAGCGTTCTTGGCTGAAAATCTCGATAAAATCATTGCAAAAGACATGATTTCACGCTGTAAAAATAACCACAGTAGACTTCTACCGAAGAACGATCACATAGGGTCTGATGCAATGAATAATTACCGTAGGACATGCGTGGTTTGAAAAAGAAACTCGGTCCAGTTTCCTACGGATGCATTAATAGGAAGAAATGAATGCTAAATCCATAGCAAAATTCCTTGTTGAAAGGCGGAATCGTGTAAGTATGATTACATACCTATTTCTTACGTCTTTATCGAAGGAAAAGCAGGTGAACTCTTTGCTACAGCAACTTTCAACAAAAATTATCGTTAGTTTCTTTATATAGTTCTCCTTAAAAAATATGCAAGTTGTCAGAATTCAATCGTTTGGTTTCTTCGCTCTTATGACCGCAAATTTTATTCTATTCAAAGGTAATAATTTTATCAGAAGAACTGGTAGGATTTGACAAACCTTTGCGACGTATATTATGAAGCGTTCCCTTAAGTGATAGTGGGTACACAAGGTGGGTATGTAGCTATTCTTGTTTCAAATGGTACAGACACTGAAACCCAAATGAATTAATCAAGGAGGAAATTACCGTAGAATTAACCAATAGAATTACCATGGAATAAACCAATAGAACTACAATGGAATAAACCAATAGAATTACTATAGAATCAACTAATAGATTTCCCAAAAATAAACCAATAGAATTAACATAGAGCTAATCAATAGGACTACGATAGAATTGACAAATAGAACTGCCATAGAATTGACCAACAGACTTACTATATAATAAACCAATAGAATTACCTAAGTAAAGCTTAATTGCTCTACCCTCTAGTTGTAATTTCATACAACGTTAGCCATCGTGCTCAGGGGTGAGAAAACGTCAAGTAAAAAGACTGTATTTTTCTTTCACATTTAAATAATTACCAGTAATGTTGGTATTACATTGGCAGATCGACAAAAGCTCAAAATGACAGAGAATTTAAATACATGATACAACTTAAGCAGTGGGCAATAAATGGTCGTACCCTTAACACTTTCACTGCAATCTTTTGAAGAACATTTCTTTTTCTCAACGCTTTCATCTCCATTAACACGTTGAAATCTTTTTCTTTCGTCGTTTTTATTTCGTTTATTTACATTGCTGACAACTTTAAAACCAATAAAGTAGGTTAAGTTACTTGTGTTTCCAACAAACTGTTCAGCCTGTTTGAAATAATTTTCTACCTACTTATCATACATACCATTCTCAGATTTTCTTTCAAATGATGATGAATTGAAATTATTCTTCTGGACTATTTTAGTGTGGCTTCTTTCTTCACTTGTCTGTCTCTCGTCCAAATTATCTGGTCGTTCTTTTCTGGTGACAAATTTCCAGCCTAAAAGCATAGTTTCTCAATTTCTAAATTGTATATTGCATTAGTTGTCAGCATTTACTCAAAATTATTCTTATAGCACCTCGTCAGTTTTCTGGTAAATAATTTACAAAAGTTTTGTCAAACAGGCAAATTATTAGTTAATACGAAAACAAGCAAAATTCACCTCATTGTTTCATTAATAACAACCATGGTACAGAACTATTTCGTCAATGATAGGTCGGGTCATCAAGTAACAATTTTAGTAACTATTGGAAACTATTTAGCATTATATACAATAACTTTGTTGGGTTACAACGTTCAGATCAGCTGTCACATCATGCAACACGATAGCAAAAAAATAAAGTGTAAATCTATAGTGTTTTAAACTTGAAAACAATTTTCTAATCATTATAAAATAATCAAAAACTAAAAAACAAAATTTTCTCAGGTTGTAAAAGCAAATGAAAACCAAGTGCAATATCTTTCCGTTTGCATTCTTATTGCGCTCGGTCATGCAGTTTAATCTCCATATGATAGAATCCTTCATTTCGGTTTATGACAGTTTAAGCAAATGCTTATTCTTACAGTCACAAGCAAAACGCCCAACATCAGCACAACAGTAACACATTACTTCTTTAAATCATAACGTATGAAAACATCTCTCTTATGCGTATCAATAAAATCAATATATAACGAATATATAATAGTATATCAAAAATTATTAATCAGCTTTTACAAAGTAAACACAAAAACATTTAGTAAAATTTCATGTCACAACTAAAAGACTGGAGTCAATAAAGGTTACTGTGCTCTTGCTCATATAAACAAGTGATATTTTCTTCAATCAGAGCAAAGAACAGTAATACGTGAATAGTATAAAACAATTATTTAACAAGTATTGAAATAATACTAGACCACATTATTCACAAAGAAACAGCAATTGCTGCATATTACACGCAACTACATACTTTTTCTAAACTCAGTGTTGTCCTCCACATAGTACTCATCATCCTCTTTCACGCTATCATCTGTAAACTTATCATGTTTTTCCATTGTTCATTTGAATATTCATCAACTATAAAGACAAAAAATTTTGATGCAATAATTCATTTTAAAACTCTCGTATAAAACTATCAGTTGTATCTTTTTGCTGAGTTTCAATTCTATACAGTACCTATTAGAACTAACTCAGATTGCAAAATTTCAAGCAATATGAAAATTTCACGAGGCATTCGAGATACCGGATTTATTTCAAACATACTTCGAAAGGGAGTCGATTGCGATTATTAAAGCGAGGCATTTCTTAAAGAGAGGCTTTTAACTAAAATGTTTTTAATAATAACAACAGAATTACAAAATATGAACGCAGCAAAATATATATTGAAAAAATATGTATTATAGCAACAATAGTATAGTAGTAAGATACGACGTCGTAGAAGCCTCTGTGTACGAGTCAAATTCTGTTAGTGAGTATATTCCAGTGAAATCAACTAATGAATATGATGAACAATTGGTAGGACATTATGTTCCCATTCAGGTTTCATAATTGATTGTAACATTTCTCAATAAAATTTCGCAAGAAAGCAAAGTTTAAGAAGGAGTCTGGGATAAGAATGCTAGAGCCAAAAATTATAGTTATTTATCAAAGCAGGACCACATCTAAAGCATGAGCTACAATTTTTCTAGACGATTTGACCCGAATTAAAGACAAAATTTATTGCTTTCATATCGCTTTCCAAAATCTTCATACAATCTATATGCAATTGTTTGTATTTTAATGAATGTAAAAAGAAAAAATTTTCTCACCAAGACTTTTCAATTTAATTATTATAACTGTTTATGATTTAATTTTTAAAGTTATTTGAAAATTAAATCCGTAACAAATAGTATGTAAAATTTTTTTAGTAACAACAGAAAAAGATGCAAATCTGCAGTTTATAGCTACTAGTATTTATAATGCATGCATTTTCCAAGCAAAGATTACTTAATAATTTTCTTGTAATGGGAAATCCTGCAGCGCTACAAGATTAAATTTAGAATTAAAATCAAGACCAATTAAAACATGGACAAGTGAAATTTTGCATAATAAAATATGTCAAAATGAAAATAAAAGAATTTGATGAAAGCCACCCTTATACGATTAATATGCAATTCAACTCACCAACTATATTAATTAGGGATACGCCCTGTTTCGCAAATATATTAATAACCAAGACAAGCAGACAATTTTAAGTAAAACAAAATAAAACAAATTCCAAAAACGGACGTCTCCTTTTCTTGATATTCAAGATAATATAAGAGTTTTAAAACAAAAGATGGTGTAATATTTCGTCTTTATTCCATAGACATCATCAGACTAATAGTTTACAATACAGACTACGAAATACTTCCTCTTGCAAAAGTAATCACTTCCGCTTGCACTTAAATCACTTCCGCTTGCAAACATATTATAGGCTTCACAATTCTTCAAACACGTAAACTTAAGGATCGGGAGTTCAAATCGTGTGCCAAAATATAAGATCCAATAATTCTATAGCTTTACACAAGCATACGTACATTAAATTTATTCAACGCTCTCGTCTTATATCAATAATTAAGAAGCTACTTCAAATGCCCTTAAAGTTTACCATAGAAAAGTTTCATTCAAAAAAATATTAGAGTAGCTTTCAATTTACGCGATTTAATTTAATCTTTGAAACGCTATAGTAAACTTGCAATGCTAATACACAAATACTCTTTCGATAGTTCGGTTTTTAAGGTGTGTTGAAATCAATTTGTTAGTGCAAACACCCTTGCTTTAAAATCTATATAGTCATTGGTCTCTACACTTGAGGACATTGTTTACCAAAGAATCCTTTCTTAAGCTTTCACTTCGTAACATAGCCACGAAAAGGCAGTTGATTAAAAAGAAACGACACAATCATCACCCATACTTTTCCCCCTTTCCTAACGTCATGCATATAAACACAAATAGCTATATCACTTTATAAGTCATACCTTATTGTGGCATCAATGTATTTTCATCTATAAAGATTTTGCATCAAAACAAATATTAAAGCACCAGTTAAGCATTTCTTCGACAACCTTTCCATCAACATAAATGAGTTGTTGGAAGAACTTCGCAGTTATATAACTAAGTACACGTCACCGAATTACAAATACTATTGAAAGGTAAAAATATCTTGAACAACCTCATGCAGAGTGCTTGCAAGATACCATTAAGATTAATGAAATATGCTCATGGTGTGTTTTGACATGTCGATAAGATCATAAGGGTGGCTAAATTTGAAGTAATAAATTATATTTCTGCAGACAGACTATATTCGATGTGTAGAATTGCAACTTTCTGTGCACTTCTTTAATATATTTGCTAGAAGCATTATATGTGGCTCGCGTTCTTCTTCTCGGTCCTCACACGATGGTTTTGGCGGTTTACTTTAAAGTCTTGACATTCAACAGGGCATAAAATCGATGTAAACTTGTTATTTTAATTTTTCATGCTTGACTTTCGACTTTGCACCATTTTGCTATGTAATTTTACTTTTTATGATTAATCTTTGTTGTAAGATCCGTAACAGTTATTCTTTCAATAATTTCTTACAGAATCAACATCAAAAATCACAAATCTGCAGTTCTTATTTGTAGTTAATGAGCGTACTCCGTAATGAAACATTAATTCTTACAAAGAGCAACAAGATCAATTTAACTGAAAGACCATGTAATTCAAATATAGACAAGCTTGTATTTTTGCACAATTAAATATTTTAAAGTGAAAGAGAAAAACTTTGATCAAAGTCCAAGTATACGCCCAATAAAATAATTCAAATTTCCAACTATATATTACTTCCATTAATTAGAGATATCGCTTGTTTCGCATGTCTTTATTTTGCATTAGTTTATTTTGGTCTACAAGCAAATACCAAAGAACCATTTAATTTCTTTATTTAACAACTTTACATTAACATTAATGAGTTCTTGGAAGTACCTCCCACTCATACAACTACGTACACGTCACCGAATTACAACTCCTATTGATATGTGATATATCTTGAAGAGCCTCATGCAGAGTGCTTAATAACAATATTAGTCCATTTTGCTCCGGTATGTTTTGACATGTCAAAAAGATGTTTAGTTTGAACTTTGAAGTAATGAATTTTATATCTGTAAGCAGACTATATTCGTTGTATAGAACTGAAAGTTTCTGTACACGTCTTTAATCTATCTGCATGGAGGATTATGTGATTCGCGTCGTTTTCGGTCCTCACACGATTGTTTTGGCGGTTTACTTTAAAGTCTTCACATTCAACAGGACATAAAATCGACGTAAATTTGTTATTTTAATTTCTCGAGCAAGTTTCGATTAAACATTATATGTTGTTTTCGTACGATCTATGTGCAACATTTTTTTACATTTTAATGAATGTAAAGTCAAGTACCATGCAATTCAAATATCGTATCACCCAGACTTTGCAGCATTTTGCTATGTAATTTTACAGTTTATGATTAATCTTTATTGTTAGATTCGTATTAGTTATCCTTTCAATAAATTCTTACACAAGCAACACTAAAAATCGCAAACTTGCAGTTTTTATTTGTAGTTAATGAGCGTACTCCGTAATAAAACATTATTACTTACTAAGAGCAGCAAGATATTTTAACTGAAAGACCATGTAATTCAAATATAGACAAGCTTGTATTTTTGCACAATTAAATATTTTAAAGTTGAAGAGAAAAACTTTGATCAAAGTCCAAGTATACGCCCAATAAAATAATTCAAATTTCCAACTATATATTACTTCCATTAATTAGAGATATCGCTTGTTTCGCATGTCTTTATTTTGCATTAGTTTATTTTGGTCTACAAGCAAATACCAAAGAACCATTTAATTTCTTTATTTAACAACTTTACATTAACATTAATGAGTTCTTGGAAGAACCTCCCACTCATACAACTAAGTACACGTCACCAAATTACAACTCCTATTGATATGTAATATATCTTGAAGAGCCTCATGCAGAGTGCTTAACATTAATATTAGTCAATTTTTCTGTGGTATGTTTTGAAATGTTAAAAAGATGTTTAGTTTGAACTTTAAAGTAATGAATTATATATCTGTAAGCAGACTATATTCGTTGTATAGAACTGAAAGTTTCTGTACACGTCTTTATTCTATCTGCATGGACGATTACGTGATTCGCGTTGTTTTTGTCGGTCCTCACACGATTGTTTTGGCGGTTTACTTTAAAGTCTTGACATTCAACAGGGCATAAAATCGACGTAAATTTGTTATTTTAATTTCTCGAGCAAGTTTCGATTAAACATTATATGTTGTTTTCCTAAGTCTTCATACGATCTATGTGCAACATTTTTTTACATTTTAATGAATGTAAATTCAAGTACCATGCAATTCAAATATCGTATCACCCAGACTTTGCAGCATTTTGCTATTTAAATTTATAGTTTATGATTAATCTTTATTGTTAGATTCGTATTAGTTATCATTTCAATAAATTCTTACAGAAGCAACACTAAAAATCGCAAATCTGCAGTTTTTATTTGTAGTTAATGAGCGTACTCCGTAATGAAACATTAATTCTTACTTATAGCAGCAAGATCAACCTAACTGAAAGACCATGCAATTTAAATATAGACAAGCTTGTATTTTTGCACAATTAAATATTTTAAAGTGAAAGTGAAAAACTTTGATCAAAGTCCCAGTATACGCCCAATAATATAATTCAAATTACCAAATATATATTACTTCCAATAATTAGAGATACGCCTTGTTTCTTATGCCTTAAAATTCTACAAACAAGTAAATTTGAAAATCGGTGTTCTAATCATTTGACAAAAACAAGCTTTGATAAATATATAGGTTCTTCTCCAATTAACATAACTACATTTAATTCTTTTCGCGATCTTATCTCTGCGATCTTATCCCTCAACAATTATACTTTTCAAACGAGCTTAGCTACATATGAAGTAGCAACCATCAAACAAGTTTCATTTGAAAGAAAAATTTTGTTATACCTTATGATTTACTCAGCTTAGTCCTAGACCTTTGACACGCTTTA